ATATATATATGTGTGTATTTATGTATAATGTGAATATACTATTTGATTTTACATCTACATAGATATTACTGTATGTTTTTACATAGGCACGTGTATGTCTGCTCCTATATGTATATATAGTTATAGATATATATATATATATATAAGCTGACATGTCAATACATATATAGTTGCATGTGAGCGTTCTTAAGCAAGAAAGCAATCGAGATAGTATATAATAATTTGGCACTTTGCCCATACAATTAGTTGACAAAAGAATAAATCAATACTTACGCGTTACTGGAGGTGTTTCGCCTTTATTCAGCATACCGGCCCTTTGCCCCCTATCCGAGCCCTGTGATTTAGCCCTTCTGACCTGAACATCAACTTTCGGTACAATAGGGCGCTGTTTCGGAGAAAATATCCCACTTCTCCCATCGTTACAGCCGGAAGTGGATCTGGAAGGTTCGAGTTCAGACCACTTAGTTCCTGAGTCTCCGGGTGATTGGTTTGACTCTAATACTTGTACTGTTCTCCGCACACTGCCAGGGCGCTGTCTTGCGAATGCTGGCTGAGCGGACATCGTTGCAAGTCTGAATGGATGTTCGGTTCAGAAGCAATATACTAGCGCTGTGGCTAATTCTGTTATATGTACGAGTGTGTAAATATACAAAGATATCTGCCTAAAAAAGGTTATATATCCCAATACAACAACCTCTCATAGATTTTGATAATTGATCGAGTTTACTACGCCGTGCTCTACCGGTGAGATAGCATGTAGTAGATTTCGTCTTGGTATTGTCTTGCTTTGCTGTCTATATGTATACAGGTAATACAAATATGCAGAACCATTGGTATGCAATGCTCAACTACTACTAAACTAAACACACTGTACTATCTCTTTTAGGGAGAGAGCGAGACCTTCTTTGATGAGCCTAATAGTGCCTGTAGAGAGCATAAATTATTCAAACTTTAACTAATAGCAAACTATCGGTCATTATCAAGTATTATCGCGGGAATGATATATTGTTAATTTGAGGAGTTAAAAATCAGAATTCCGTATTTACCGCCACGGGAAAAAAAAGCATCTATGTACATACTTTACTGATAAGCTTCAGGACAACGAGATGTATACCCCAATCAAACTTGATCTATAAATAACCGTTCTCGTTGTACACAGTGTCATCTTGTTGGATTATTAATCCAACTGTCTAAATATATATTAGAGTTTTATTCGCTACTATTTCCGTCATGGTTCCACGGAAAAGTATAATTGTTTTAATATGAAATACATCAAAAACTTATTCGAAAACTCAATCTGTACTGATACTCTCTTCACCTCGGTTATTTCAGCAGTATTTATAGGTGAAGTGCACAGAGGTCTCTCACTCAGCGTAGATACTAGCTATCTCCTGTTCCAAAGAAACAAAAAGATTCTTCTCCATAGCACTTAATATGGACCCAATCGACTCTGTACCCACCGGTCTTAAAGACCTGAGATGCTGTCTCTTATGCTCAATGATTAAGGTATTTATTTTGAGTATTTAGTATGCTGAAGAATCTTAATGTTTCAGAGTTGCTGCATGGTACTGTTTCCTATAGTGTCGTGTGCTTTCCGTTTCAAATGCAATATTTGAAAATTCAGTAAGGCAGCAACACAGTATTCCCTTATACTCACAATCTGTGTAAATGTGTTTGCGAAGTTTGTGTGTGCTTCTGCTCGAAAATACTAACTAAATATTTGATGCGGCAGTGAAGCTAAGGGACCACTATTTCTGTATCAATCTATATCAATATGAACGTGAACGCACACACGCAT